GGTGTTTTGTTCCTTAGTTTCTGTTTCTCTCTGGATTTGCAGAGTGTGTGATGGCTGTTGCCTAGTAGAGTGCCTCTGGGCTGTGTGACCTGGAAATGACAGCCAGCGTCAGGCCTGAGACAGGGTGGTACTTGGTGATTTGTTCTTAGATGGATGAACAGGCATGGCTACCTAGTGTGAGGTTCTAGGTTGTATTCAATATGCCTTTAGTAGTGCAAGTGAAGTTTCAAGTTTGATATCTTTTGATTGTATTTGGTGCTTGTTATGTTTCAAATATGACCTCCATAGAATAGGTTCATGTATTTGAACACCTTGTCTTCATTACTGTTTTGGGAGGTTGCAGAACCTTTAAAGGGGGCGTAGATGGAAGAAGTGAGTGGCTTGGGAGTAGGGAATGAGCCTTGAGGCCTCTTCCTGGATGTAGTCAAGCAACTTCACACTCTTACCTGTCAAAAATGACTACTGCCTTCCCCCACTGTGATGCACTGTACCCGTCAAACTATCAGCCACAATGAATGTTTCCTACCTTAATATGCTCCGTCAGGTGTTTGTTCACCGCAGCGAGTTACTAACATGGTGATTATCTTCTAAGTGTTCCTGTTGATTGTCCTGTGTTGAGTCTAGCTAGCTACTATAGTTCCCACGTTCCCTCCCATTGAGCCTTGCCTTTTCTTGGCCAGGACCACCCATTCCTGCCCGTAACCAAGAGCTTGGTCTTGAGCTTGAACTCCATGAAGTTATTTGGCTCTCTGTCCTAAAGAAATTGACTGGTAAGCTCCTAAATAGAGATCACATTTGGCAGCCTACCCAGGAGCTTTGCTTGTGTTTTTCATGTCTTCACTTTGAGTAGGTCATACTTGTAAGTAGAAGAGTTGTTTAAGTGGGTTAAATTCTTATCTTTCTCAGGTATTTTGGTAATAAACTACCTAGAGGTGTAGAGAGTGACCTATGCGATGTTTTAGGTAATAAACTACCTAGAGGTGTAGAGAATGACCTTGTGCAATACTTTAAGTTGTTCCCCCAGGTTTCTTCTGACTTTGTTTTTCTGTTGACAATGCAAAGTTTGTTTGATTGAGCTGGTAAAATGGCTCACCAGTAGCACATGCCTACCCTTGAAGGCTGGAGTTTGAGCCCCAGAACACACACATTCACAGTGTTACCATAGCTTGAGCTGCCCTTGAAAAATAGAACAGTGTTGTAGTGTAGATATTCCTATTTCAAAAGCTGGAGTACTTCTAACAAAAAGTTCCAGAATTCAAAGGAGTCATGCTGTGGGAAAATGAAAGAGGGAGAGAACAGTCTGGGCAAGGACCACCTTCCTGCCCGAGTTGGCCCAGAGAAAACAGAAGAGCCCTGCGGGCAGAGGCAGGCTGGAAATGACCTACCTGCAGTCAGACCTCGATGCCCGTTTCCCTGTATCTTCCACTAACAGAGGGTGAGTTAGAACAAGACCTGGATTGTTAGCTAACCCCATGACCCCCGCCTTTGACCAGAGTGTTGTGCCAGGCAGAGTAAACACATTCTGACTCATTGCCAAGTGTAAGTTAAACGCATGCTCCCCTCGAGTAGCCTGGAAAATAGTCCAAAAGCCAGATCCTCTGCTGTGTTTCTTAGCCAAGTGTGGGCAGTCACTACTTAGTCAGCAGTTAGCATGGGTGGGGTCCTGGGTGAGTGAAGAAAGCATGGCACCCATGCACCTGCATTCGTAGCTCCTCTCCTGCTGGCCTAGACTCGGCCTCCTTTCCTGGAGCCTACATAGCAGCTGCAGAGGAACATGTCTTACTCTGTTTCATTGAGAGTCAGGTTCAGAAAGTGATTGAGTTTAACAGGGCAGCATAAGTCCATTTCAGAAAGACTGTAGGAACTCGCTGCTTGTGGGAACTCTGAAGGTAAGATCAGGAACCTCTGCTTCTGATTAGGGATTAGGAGGCATGTTGAATTCCCTGATACATTGGCAAAGGCACAGGGCCTGCAAGCTCCCTCCCCTTTCTTGTGCCCATTAGTTTTTATTTTTTAAATAAGGTGGTTATAGTCCATGATGGTCTTGAATTTGCAGTCTTTCTTTATGAGCCAGAGTTCTAGAGTTAAAGGTGTGTACCACTATCCCTGACTCGCTGGTGGTTTTCTGTATCAACTGTTTATTAATTTGCACACAAAGTGGTTTTCACAAATAGCTGCCACTGTGGAATCACCTGGATCAAGTTGGAGAGTGTCCCTGTGCTCTCCTCCAGGGAGTAGTATCCTTCCCTGAGCCGCTCCCCACCTTGCTGAGATGCAGCTTGCAAATTCTAGATCTCATTTCAGGCTCAGCTGTCTGAACATGCCTGCCTGGGTAACTGGCCCGTACCTGACTCGCCCACCTTCTAGGATCTTGTGTGCTTAGCTCTCTTTTGTTTGGCCTCTGGTGGGTGTTGACCAGCAGTGATGCCAGAGACTATCAAAAAACGGAGTGAGATGCCTGTAGGTTTACACTTAGACTGTGTTGCACACTTGTGTGGCCTGGACAATGAACCGGAGAGTGGAACTGAAGCATTGAAGCCTGGAATCTGGCCAAGACCAGCAGTCTCAAAGTGGCCACCCTGTTGGATTTAGGTAGAGCTGCAGGTGGCGCCAGTGGGTTATTACTTTCCGAGGTCTGGAGCTGCCTGCTCAGCCTGTTGACAGGAGTCTGGCTGCCGAACCACCTGCTGGAACAGCAGGAGCCAGCATGTTTCCATTCCAATGTACCTGGCTTGTATGCACAAGGCTCCTTCCAGGGTCAGTGTTTGGCGATTTTTCCAGTCACTTTCATACTCAGAATGAGCAAAAGTGAAGAGAAGACTGTCTGCTCTGTTGGTCTCTGTACTTTGAAGATGGTATATAACTGCCTTAAATTTTTAAAATTATACACACACACACACACAGCGGAGGGAGCATGTGTGCCACAACATGCATGTAGAGGTCAGGATTTGGTTCTGTCCTTCTACCATATGGTTCCCAGGCACCAAATTCTGGTCATTAGGTTTGGTGTCAGGGACTTTTCTTTACCTTTACTTGCTGAGTCTTTAACACCGCATGAAAAACATTTTTGTTTTGACAAAAGCATTAAAAATTCACAGGATGGTTGCCAAGGCCATATTTGTGTAGGCTATTGTGACATCGGGGCCATAAAGGTTTGTTTTCCCAGACCCCCAAGTGTCTGGAGCTTTGAACACACCAGCAGGTCAAAGGCAAGCAGTACTACCAATGTAAGGACAGTGTTTGGCGGTCTCCTTTCCGGGGCAGTGGTAAAGTTGGTGAGGCTGGCTGCAGCAGGAAGGTCTTGTCTTTACTATAAAGAACCAAGCAAGCAACCAAATGAGAGCATCAAAGCAGATTGCAGGATGTGTCCAGCCCTCCCTGGCACGATGCCCAGGACCTCAGTGCCTGCTCCTAGGCCAGGGCCAAGTTTAAAGTTCACAACATCTTGTTTTTTCACCTGTTTCCTACAGTTCTAAGAGATTTGTTAATAATTAATGAGTAACTATATTGGGTACCCATCCTTTTCTCCAAGATAAATAGGGTTACTGTGGGTGTATTTGTGTGTGCCCCAGGCCACTGGAGGGTAGCATTGGTATTTAATAGAGTTGGTAAAGACAAAGCAAAGGCTGTGGTTGGCATTGTTGAGTTGTGATCGCTGTGCCTGCCTTTTGTGAACTTGGTGCAGCCGACGTTGACACAGATGGTGGATAATAAAAGTGAGTGAAGACACTATTTACAATGGCTTTGCTGCGGGTCTGCAGCACAGGAGTTCCGGGTTCTGGAAAGACTCCCGCAGCAGTGCTGAGTGGTAGACACATCAGACACTTGTTCTTAGCACAGTCTTCATTTGACAGCTGACAAATTGCTGGTGGCTCCATTTGTCCCGTGAAGAAACTGCAGTGCTGACATCCAGAGTGCACTAGCGCTTCTTTGTGTCACTAAAGTTTGATACAAACAGCATGGGTATTTTATTGAAGGTTCTTCTTATGCTAGAGGGTGACATCCATTTAAAATCCTTTAGAAAATTAATGTTAGAAGACTTTAAGCCTTAGTCCTTGTCTTATTTGGCTCACTGCTGAGTGTTTTATGTGTGGACTGAACATGTGCAATAGTCATGATGTGGACAATACCTTAATAAAGTCCAAATCCTGCCTTTTATACTCTGTGCCACCAGGCGGCTAGTGAAAAATATCACTCAGGACAACAGTTATGCAAAGGCCTTAGAATCACTTTAAATTCTGCTTCAATGATGAAATATGAAACTCGATGGATTGTTCTACAGGAAAGCAAACTGCTGAGTGACAGCATTTCAGACAGCGCCGGGCCAGATGGACATTTCTATGGTGTTTTTGGTTTTTAAATATTAATAATGTTAACTAGCCAGGTTTTGCTGAGCTAAAGCATTTGGAGACACTGAGCCTACTCTTCCTTTGGGCTGACTTCTGGATAGACATATTATTCCAGGCTCTAACAAAGTTTGAGACAAAGGTTCTGCTTTGGGCTCAATTCTCAGTCCTGACACTGCAGGCCTACTACTTGGTCCTTACTATGTCTGTGACATAATCCACAGAGACACTGCACAAATCTACTCAGTACAGGCTCTGGAGCTTCCAGCCATGTGTGGCCGTCTAGACTGCACGTGTATAAGATCTGGGAGTTGGGCTTACTTCATAGGACACATCTGTGAGAATGAAGACAGCAGCATATGGCACAAAACCTGCTTCCCTCAGAGTTTGCAAAGAGGAAGGCAGTCCTTCCTCAGACATGAAGCCTTACCCATCCCCTGGCCAATGTCATGTGTCTACCTAGCCCCTCTTGTGCATCTAGCAGTTCTTTGGGTCTTTAATTTATTCACTTTGACAAATAACCTCTTGGTCATAACAACAGTTCACTCTCAACTTGCTACTCTGATTCAAAGTGAACATGAGTGCCTTAATCCTCTAATGGGAATTAATTGCTTATTTCAGTGCTTAACTCTGATCCTTTTCCAATCCCCACAGGGACAAGTTGCTTCCTGAAGGATCTGTGTGTATTGTTCAAAACATAATCAGAAAAGGTAATGTTTTTCTTATGAAAGAAGCCAGAAATGCAAAACATCCATTTTGTACCCTAGCATTCTCAAACTGATTTTATATTAGAAAGGATTCATTTACCAAATGCTTGTAAGAAAAGCTAGCCTCTCTTGTGTAGTTATTTTTTACAGATATAACTTATTTTCTTTAGAAAGAAATTGCAGAGTTGTTTAAAGTAGAAAACCACTGTCCATATCATGATTCCATGGTATAGTGTCCCCTTCCTGAGATTGCTTCTTGGTTCGGAAACCACTACTTGATAAGGCTTGAAACCCTCTCCCACCAAAAACATTTACCATAACACTCTCAGGAGCTTAGTTGAGAACCCAACAGTAGTAAGCCTTTGAGGGAAGGAGGAGCTGGGGTGGAGACCTGGGGAAATGAGAGGTCAAAGCCAGGGAGAAGAGGAATCCAAGGTCATTGGATTCTTACAACTAGCAGTCAGTGGTCAGTAAGACTAACTCTTGGGAAACACGATGAACCCCATTTTTTAAAAAAGGAGAAAATAGAAGCTCAAAGACTTAAAATGATTTTCTCAAAAATCTACATTTGCTGCGTGCAGGTTGTAACCTGGCTCTGTATCTTGAACTGCCCCGCTATGGGTGTCCTGGCTGATGCTCCCTAGGGAACCTAGGTCCACATTGTCTGATACAGCAGAGTTCTTGTCCTTGAGTGTTGTGGTTCTGGCTAACTTGGGGCTGTCTACTTACCATTCACCAAGACAAACAGCCATCTTTGTTCTATGCTTTCCGCCCCTTATTAAACCAAGTTCTTGCATTTTTACACAGGACTAACTTAATCCAGTATCATGGAAAGAGCTAGCACAGCAGTGTCTGAGAGGGGCAATTTGAAGACATTAGGCATGACTCTCAGAAAGCAGCATCCTTGTTCACTGTGGCATCCCTAGGGGCCAGAAACATCAGCACAGGGCTCTCCTGTCCCTGCTAGCGACTGTAAATTTTTCTTTCCTTTTTCCTTCATTTGAGAACTCTCTGTTCAGATCCCAGTCCCATTTTTTGAATTTGTCATTTTTGAATTCTTTACATATTAATGGATATTAATTCTCTGTTAGATATATAGGTGGCAAAGATTCTCTCCCATTCTGTGGGCTTTCTCTGTTTGTTTCTTTAGCTGTGCACAGTTTTTAGTTTTGTAAAGTCCCACTTGTCAGTTGTTGGCCTTTTCCTTGGGCAAATTTCCTACACCTCCATCATGAGGGCACTGCCTGTGTTTCTTTTAGCAGCTTCACTGTTTCCACTTTCATATTTGGGTCCTTGATCCTCGTGGGGTTAGTGTTCATGCAAGGTTATATCTGTACGGACATTAGTTTTTCCAGCACCATTTGTTGAAGATACTTTCTTTTCTCAAGTCTAAGTTTTTGGCATATTTGTCAAATATTAAATGGCTGAAGTTACATATACTCACTTTCAGGTTTTCAATTTTGTTCCATTGACTCTTTTTATACAAGTACCATGTTTTTATTACTATGGCTCTGTAATATAGCTTCAAATCTGGACCGTCAGTTCCTCTAGCATTGTTATTTTTGCTGTGGATTCTTTTGGCTGAGGCCTTTTGTGGTTTCATACGAATTGTAGGACTTTTCTATTTCTGTGAATAATGAAATGATTTTTATTTGTATTGAATTTTTGTTAAAATGGTCATTTTCTACTAATTCATGAGCAAGAACTGTCTTTCCATTTTCTAGTGTCTATCTTTTTCTTCAGAGGTTTAAAACGTTCACTGTAGAGGTTCTTCATTTCCTTTGTGAGTTTTATTTCTAGATATTTTAATTTCTTTAATGATACTGTGAATAGGCACGTGTCCATGATTTCTCTGCATGTTTGTTGTTAGTGAATAGAAAAGTGTGTGTGTGTGTGTGTGCGTGCGCAAGCAAGTTGATTCTGTAGTCTCACATTGCTGAATTTATTGTTTCTAGTTTTCTGGTAGAATTTTGGTGATCTAATAATGTATAGTATTAGTTCATCTGCAAACAGGGATAGTTTGGCATCTTTCCCCATTTGTATTTTTTGGATTCCTTCTGTTTTTTTCCTCTTTGTTCCAGCCAGCACTTTGAGCTCAATATGGAAAGGAAGTGAAGGTGCTGGACTTCACCGCCTCTTTTCTAACCTCAGTGAGGTTGCTTTACGCTTTTCTCCATTTAGATAAGTCGACTGTGGATTTCTCATTATAACTTCTATTGTGCTAAGATATTTCCTCTAGTCATACATTCTCTAGGACTTTTATAATAAAACCCTTTTCTGCATTATTCTGCATTGAGATAACCATGTAATTTTTTTCTTTTAAGTCCACTTATGTGGTTTGTTGCATTCATTCACTTATATATGTATATTTCAGGGAAAAAGCAAAGTTGGCCATGGTGTATGATCTTTTCATATATGTCGAGATTCTGTTCATAAGTATTGAACTTTTTAGAGTCTGTGTTTATCAGATCTATTGGCCTTATAGTTTTCTTTTGTTTCTGTTTTTGGGAGTGATAGGAGGATTTGGACTTGGGAGTACTCTGCTTTCTTTTCTTCTTTTTTCTCTTTTTCTTAATAATTTGAGGATTGGCTATAGGTCTTCTTTGAAAGTTTGGTAGAATTCTGCTGTGCATAGGTCTGGAAGGATACTTATTACTATTTCAATATCCTTGTATTTCAATATCCTTGTTTGATATAGATCTCTTTAGGTTGTTACTTCTTTATTTAATTTTGGTGGTTTGGCTAAATCTAGACATTCATCCATTTCTTTTAGGGTTTGCAGGCTACTGAAATACAGGTTTTTAAGGTATTCCTTTATAACACTCTGAGTTTTTTTAGTATTTATTTATTATGCATACAATATTCTGTCTGCATGCAGGCCAGAAGAGGGCACCAGACCTCATTACAGATGATTGAGAGCCACCATGTGGTTGCCGGGAATTGAACTCAGGACTTCAGGACCTTTGGAAGAGCAGGCAATGTTCTTAACTGCTGTGCCATCTCTTCAGCCCCAACTCTGAGTTTCTTTAGTGTCTGTGATAATGTTTCCCTGCTCATTTCTGATTCTGTTTATTTGGATTCTCTTATTTCTTTTGATATATTGAACTTTGATTTATCTTCTGAAAGAACCAGCTTTTAATTTGTTGATTTTTTTTCTTTGTTTCTATGTCATTGATTCCTGCTCTTATTTTTATTCTTGTGAGTGAGTTTGGATTAGGTTTGTTCTTATTTTCCAGCTTTTGTAGTTGCGTCACAAAGCTACTTTTTTGCGCTTTTTCTGATTTTTTTTTTTTTTTGAGGGGCGGCAGTGAGACAAGGTCTCACTACATAGCCCTGGCTGTTTTGGAACTCGCTACATAGATTAGGCTAACTAATAATTAGGCATAGTCCACCATGCCTTTAATTTTAATGCAGACATTTATAGGAGTTATACATTTCCCTTGTAGGAATGTTTTCAGGGTATTATAGAGGTTTTGTTGTATTTTCATTTTCATTTAGTTCCAGTAAATTATTTCTTTCTTGATTTCCTCTCTGACCCATTCATCATTCAGTAATGAGTTTTTAATCTCCATTAGTGTGTGTACTTACTAGAGATTTTTTTTTTTTGCTTTTTTGCTGTCAGTTTTAAGTTGTGTTGCTTTGTGGTTGGATAGGATACAAGGATTGATTTCAATCTTCTTGAATTTATAAAGGATTTTTTGTCCCAGGATGTGGTCCATTTTAGAAAAGCTTCCATGTACTATTAAGTAGAATGTATATTTTTTGGTGTTTGGGTAGAATATTTTTTATATATATATAATTTGTTAAGTCCATTTGGTATGTGCTGGCAATTCTAATGATTCACTGTATTTGTTCAGATGACCTGTTGTAGTGGTGGTTTGAATGAGAATGGCCTCCCAGAGACTCATACATTTGAATGTTTGGTCCCTACTTGGGGGAACTATTTGGGGAAAGATTAGGAGGTATGTCCTTTTGTTTGAGGAAGCCTGTCACTGGAAGTGGGGCTTTGAGTTTTCAAAAGCCCAAGTCAGATTCTCTCTTTGCCTCCAACCTGTGGATAAGATGTAAATTCTCAGCTACTATTCCAGCCAGGGCCATACCTACCTGCCTGCCACCAGGTTCCCCACAATGATGGTCTTGAACTAACTCTCTGAAATGCCTTCTTTTATAAGCTGTCTTGGCCATGGTGTTTCTTCACAGCAATAGAATAGTAACTTAGATGCCTGTCTATTAGAAAAATTGCTATATTGAAATCATCTACTATTAATGGGTTCATATAAATCTGTCTTTAAATCCCACTAGTAGAAATGAAATTTTATGAAATTAGGCACCCCAGAATTTTGTGCATCCTAAATATGTGTTTAGAATGGTAATGTCATCTTAGCTGTTTCTTGATAAGAATGAAGCGTTCCTCTTTCTCTTCTGATTAGTATGTTGTGGCAGTATTAGGACAGCAACAGATGCTTGCTTCCAGGTCTAATCTGATGGGAGCACTTTTGTCCATCCTCTAACACAGTGCCTATCTTTAAAAATGAGTTGTGTTTCTTGTAGACAATTGATGGATTTTTGTTTCTTAATCCATTCAGTTAGCTTGTATCTTTTGATTGAGGCATTCATAAAGTTACTTTTAAAATATGTGTGGTAATTGCAGTCATTGTGTTATTTTTGTGTTGTTTTCTCATTGATGATCTGTGTTTTAATAATAGTCGCTTTGCATTTCTTTCCAGTCTCTTCAGCTATGCTCATTCCTTTCTTCAGCCCAAAGTATTGCTCCATTTTCTTTACATATAATTTTTTAGGCTGCTTATATTGTGAAAAAAATTTCTTTCTCCTTCTATTATGGCAGACAGTTTTGCTGGGTATAACATTCTATGCTGGCCATCATGGTCTTTTAGGAATTGGAATGCATTGCTTTAGGCTCTTCTGGCTTTCAGATTTTCCATTGAGGAAGTCAGCTGTTACTCTAATGGGTTTTTCTCTTGTAGCTTTCAATACATGTTCTTTGTATGTATATTTAGTACTTTAACTATGATATGCTCTGGAGATTTTCTTTTCTCATCTTGTCTATTTGGTGTTCTGTATATGTCTTGTATCTCTAAGGATGTTTCTTTCCTTAGTTTAGGAAGACTTTTTTCTATAATCTTGTTGAAGATTTGGTCTATGCCATTGACTTGGGAATCTTCTCCCTCATTTGTGCCTAAAATTCAAAGTTGTTTTTTATGGTGTCCAACATTTCCTATATATTTCCCTTTCTTGTGTTTTTAATTTTTCCCTCCCTTATTTTGTCTAGGTCCTCCACTTTATCTCTGTTTTCTGCTCATTCACTCTACTTGAGTTTTCTAGGTGAGTTACTGGGTTTTACAGTTTCACCCTCATTTCATCTCCGGTGTTCATGTCTCCTAATTAAATTCCATTCCCAAAAGCCCTGGGATGTCTTTATCATTTCCATCAGCCTTAAGTTTGTGCTTTCTTGGACTCCACTCAGGCTTATTCTTCTCAATTTCACTGAGCTGTTTGGATCTTTAAAGTCTTTGAGTTATTTGATGTAATTTATGATTGTCCTTTTAAATTCTGTGTCCTGGATTCATCTTCGTGATTCTCACTGCAATCATTGGCACATACCTCTTTCACATTGTTTATAGTTTTTGCGATATCTGGGCACATGGATTTCTTTTATTCTGAGTCTGATAGGGACAGAGCAGGTTGGGGCAGAAGAAAGGATGTGTGGTTGGATTTGGCCTAGACTTTGGAAATGGCTTCAGATGGACAGAGAGGGCTGAGCTAGTGTACAAGAATTGCCTCTTGGACTTCCCCTAGAGTATAAGGGTGGATCTGCCTGAGTGGAAAGGTTGACTGTGGTATAGGAGGGAACTTTGGTTTATGTAGTATGAAGATATAGATAGGGTGGTTCTGGGCAGAACCCTAGAAATTGATAGCAGGAGAAGGGGTGGCCAGACAGAGCCTGAATACTGGTGGATGTGGGACCTGGGCTGGATCTGGCAGGTTGGGTAGGATCATGGCAACTCACCTAGCTACACCCTAGAGAGGGATGTTGAAGATCTAGCTGCGTGAAGGGGTTGGAAGTGGAGATGGAGATGGAGGGACCTGTAGTTGGTGACAAACAGGGTTGTTCTGATAGGAGATAGGTTGTAGTGCAGGTATGGATGACCAGACTAAGTCAGGGAACTGGATGTGGAACCTGGACTAGATGTGGTGGGTTGTGCAGAGGGCTCATGGACAGGAGAGTAGAGAGGCCCAGTGGGTTAGACTCTGGAGAAGCATGTGGGAAAGCTTACTGGGTGGACAGGTTGGATGTGCTGCAGAAGAAGTCTATGTGTGGTAGCAGTAAGGTAAGTCTGGACTAGACCCTCAACACTGTCTTTAAAATAGATATATCAAATAGAAAATCTGCAAAGTTGTGACAACCAAAATTGTGTGCTAATAACCTGAAAATAAACCTAATAAGGAAATGCAATAGGAGAGGGGTCCTAGGAGTAGATTATTGGAAGTATAGTTTTTAAAAAAATCAGCAGGAAATTCCAAGACCATTTCACGTAAGCAGGCAGCTCTCTCAACAAATAATACTGTATATCTATATGCAAATTAATGAAGTTAGACTTTTACATAAAAGCAAAAAGTAAAGTCAAAATCGATCAAAGACCTAAATGTAAGAACTTAAGTTAGAAAAGCCATATGACTAGCTGAGCATGGTGGTGCACACCTTTTATCCCAGCACTCAGGAGGCAGAGGCAAGAGGATCCCTGTGAATTCAAGGCCAGTCTAGTCTACAAAGTGAATTCCAGGACAGCCAGGGCTGTTACACAAAGAAACCGTGCCTGGAAAAAGAAAAAAAGAAAGAAAAGCCACATAGGCCACATGACATTGGGTTTGAGAATGGTTTCTTGGATATGACACCAAAATTATAGGAACAAAATTAAAAATAAATTGGAATACATTAAAATGAAAAATTCCTGTGCTTTAGTAGATATAATTAACAGAATGATGAGAGAAGGTGAATGTAGGTAATGTGTTCAAAGAGGATGATCATCTATGCTGTAAAGCTTGGCACAGCAGTATAGTTGAAATACTGGGCAAAGACTCTGAAAAGCCAGTCCTCACATATACAAATGGCCAATAAAGGGCATACAAAGATGCTGAAGGTCAGTAACCATTGAAAACACCAAATCAGACCCACAGTGCGGAGGTGGCTACCACTGAGAAGCAACCAGTGCTGACACAGAAGTAAGGCTGTGACCTGTATTCTTTGGGTAGTAATTTGAAGGTACAGTAGCCACAGAAAACAATCACCATGTGAACCAACTGCTTCTGGGTAACTATACATAAACTTAATGATAGCAGGATCTCAAAGAGGTAACCAGCACATCCATGTTCACAGAAGCATTGTTAATAGCAGTCAATCCAAGTATCCATCAACAGATAACGATATCTATATGGTGGAATATTTCTCAGTTTTAGAAAGTCAATCTGAAACATTATATGAATGAACCCTGAGGACATGGCAGGAAGTGAAATAAGCCAACCATAAAGGCAGTCCACTTTCACTTATGCAAGGTGGATAAGATAGCACACCTCTAGGAGGTAGGCAGTAAAAGTAGTGGTTAAGGGGAAATTTAATGGATAGAATTTGCCTGAGATTTCTTTATCAGTGTGATTCCATGATAACCCACTACAACATGTAAAAGCAGGAGGAAAAAGTTTAAGAAGAAAAATGAAAGGTTTTCTGTTGGGACTAGTCTGATTCAAAACATTTTTTCTTTTTAATTTTATTTATTTTGCAGTGTTCTTCTTGCATGTATGCCTATAAGCCAGAAGAGGGCATCAGATCTCATTCCAGATGGTTGTGAGCCACCATGTGGTTGCTGGGAATTAAACTCAGGACCTCTGAAAGAATAGCCAGTGCTCTTAACCTTTAGCTACCTCTCCTGCCCCTCAAAACATTACATATTTCTAAAATGCTGTTCTTGCTTCTTGTGGAGGGAAGTAGGATATTAACATATCAAAGAGCAGAAGAGACCAATACATCTTTGGGTTCCTTGCTCTAGGGGCTAGTGCTGGCCAGAATTCTATGTCACTGTTTCCTCCCCAAAGTCCCACACAGGCTGGCGTGGGGAGTCAGCACCTGGGGTGGGAGAGGACTTGCTCCTGTGTTTGCATTCTCAAGCCATATTTTACACAGATCACTTTGTTACATAGGTCAGTATCCCAGACTTAAGGGAATGTTAGTTTTACATGGAGCCAAGGAATTGTCTTTGCCTTCTAAGACAGTGGTTCTCAACCTATGGGTCGCAACCCCTCTGGGGTCATATATCAGATATTTGCATTGTGATTCATGATAGTACCAAATTTACAGTTATGAAGTAGCAATGAAATAATTTTGTAGCTGGGGGTCACCATAATATGACAATATGTAATATGTATTAGAACCACTGTTCTAAGACTTTGAAAAGGAAAGCTATGGGCCCACAGGTTTTGCTGGGTCTTAAGTTTCAGGACCAGAATGTAACTGTGTTCTTGAGGCCTTGGTTCCCCCAGAAGCTGGGATCCAGGTTCTTATTTATATTTGTTTCTCCTTATTCATAATATTGCTGTGGGGACTTCAAAGCTAATGATGTAAGAAAGTGGCCATCCTTCAGGAGTTGGTCCCTAACTGAGCTGTTCCTGTCTGACAAAACAACTTCTCGGCTGAACACCTTCCAGTCACAGTGACAGTGTGTGGCTGGTCTCACCTGGGATCTCAGTGCCACCAAAGTGAGGGGTCCAGGGTAGCTGCTCATTCAGGCATGCATGCTTTCACAAGTCACCACAGCAGCCTGGCCAAGGTCTTTTTCTGGTGGTGACTTGGCTTCCACTAGGTGGGGCAGGGCCTGTGTTCTGAAAGACCAGTGTCACAGAGACCTGAGTGGGCCACTTGTGCTCCCTAGTCAACGGAAGAAAGGCTTTCTTTTCTTTTTTTTCCAGCCCCACCCGACATGCTCAGGGCTGCCTGCATACATATGCGGGCTGTGCTTGAGATCTTTTTAAGACCTGGATCAGTCTACCTGATGGTACAGAGTGACTGACATGCCTGCTCTTTCTACCTTAGCATTGCTATGGGTGCTGTTTGCCAGATGTAGTGGTAATCTAATACCAGCTATTCAGAATGCTGAGGCAGGAGGATCACTTTAGCTCCAAATGCTTAAAAACACATGGAAGATCTCCCTGCCAGACACATATCATGGTGCTTAGTGAGTATTCTTCCTCTAAGTCACACCCCTAGCTCAGATTTTGTGTCTCACCAGATAGCCTTGGCTGACCTAGAGCTTGCTATGTGACCAGACCAGCCTGGAACTCACAGAGATCTACCCGAGTTAAAGGTGTGTGCCACACCATGCCTTGCCCCCGCCCAGATTTTTAAAGTCAGTAATATTTGCTCCTCTTTCTAGGTTCAGGATTGCAAACTCCAGGGCAGACTGGCCCAATGCCTCTTTCAGGTCTTTTAAATAACTAGAGAAAGCATGTCATGACACAGGCACTTTACCCAGGAAACTGGCTTCTCTTCCTGACAAGCTGGGCCAGAGAGTGGAGTGAATGTGGTGGTGCTGCCGTAAATCTGGAGGATGCCGTGAGATAGCTCTTCACCTGCTGACATAGTGCCTGCTTGCTCTCTCCTTCATAGTGCCTGCAGCTAGATGGCTCACATCTTCGTGTATGGCACCCTGAAACGAGGCCAACCCAACCACAAAGTTATGCTGGACCAATCACATGGCTCAGCAGCCTTCCAAGGCCGAGGCTGCACAGTTGAGTCCTTCCCACTGGTGATCGCTGGCGAGCATAACATACCATGGCTGTTACACCTGCCGGGCAAGGGCCACTGTGTGGCAGGTGAGATCTACAAGGTGGATGAACAGATGCTGAGCTTCCTGGATGACTTCGAAGGTTGCCCCAACATGTACCAGCGCACAGCCCTCCGGGTGCAGGTGCTTGAGTGGGAGGGTGCCGATGACCCTGGGGACAGCCTCCGGTGCTTTGTGTACAGTGCAGCCACCTACGCACCTGAGTGGCTGCATCTCCCCTACCATAAAAGCTATGATTCCGAGGGCCCACACGGGCTGCGCTACAACCCCCGGGAAAACAGATGAGGGCCCAGTGGCTGCCCAGCACAAGCAGAGCTTTCCTGGCTCAATATCTGTCTATAAAACACGTCGACAAAAGGTCTTTGACACAAATTTTGCAAATGCTCTATAATCTGGTGTTACTATTGCTTGCTATTCAAGGGAGCTCTTGGGCTTGCAGCTAGCAACTAGATGAGAGACACTCTGGGCTGAAGTCCCCTAAATGTCAGTTACAGGGCACCTAGTACTCCTTTTTTGCTTTGCTTTGCTTTGCTCTAATCTAAAGATGGAATCCCCTGTGACTAAAGACGTGGCTGCAGTTGGATCTCAGAAACTGAATGTATTGATTCCCACATATGAAATCTAGAAGGAAGTGGTGGAAAAATACCTTCAAGAAAAGCACCTAGACTGTGTACTCCACCACCCCATACAGTTTCCAGATCACACACAAACTATTAAAACAGCCATTAAAATAGAAGTATGCTGTTTTGTCCTTTTTATGTACTTACTTGATAGAAGGTGTTTTTCATTCTAATTCAGTAAAGTCAGGAGTAGTGACTTGCTGGGAGACAGCTGAGCCCTCGAACTTTATATTGTTGATGGGTGCCTCGCTCTCGGCAGCCTAGCCCATCTCTGCCACCTGAAGGTGCAGCCTTTGGGGGTAGGCCTTTCAGAAGAACCAACACATTAGTAATTTGTTCCTCAGGCCCTGACAGAAGACTTTGCTCCCAAATACAAACAACACTTAAAATAATGTTAGGAAGATGCGAAGTACCAATTACCATCCACCTCCATCTGATAATCTGTCAGCAGAGATGCAAGTTGCACATGATTCTGCTTCTGCCTCCTAGTGAAGTAGAAAATGGATTCCAAGAATTGCAGGACGAAATGCAGCTGCTGGCTGAGCACCCTGGCACTCCGCTAAGAGCTCACTCGCTCTTCAACATAATGGGTGGACGGATCACTAGCTGCAACTGCACAGAAACACAACTGTTATTTTTAGCCTCTTTTTCTTAATTGGAAACTTGCTTCACAAAACAGAAAGGCAAAGATGGGTATCAGCTGATGGGCTGGCGGCCTGGCCCACAACGTTGAGGGGAGGCATCCTAGCCATAGAGAGAGGGAAAGGGACCTGGACAGCATGCTTGTCACTGGATCAGTGCAGGCAGCACCCTCTGTCAGTCATCCAGGGACCCTCACAGAGGGGGGCATCCAGACCCTTCATCTGTGCTACCTGGTCTGAGGTAGTCGTGAATAATGAGCCCCAGGAATCCATCCTGAACCATGGAAGAAGGGAGGTAATCAGATTACAAAACTGGGATTTATATAAATTTTTAAAGGATCATAAGGAAATGCTAGTATTTACAGTCAGTTGGCACAGCCTGTCGCCTCTGTGTATATTGTCTTCATTCAGAAAAAAAGGGCAAACTAATATTTAGACAAGTGCTTGGTTTTATTGATTTAATTTTGACACTAGGAAATCTCAGCAGAAGTACAAATCATATGTACAAGTATTTATATCAATAAAAATTTCCATTGGTGATTTTTTGGCAGAATGTCAGTTTTGCCTCTTCTGAGGAATAAATACGATGTGTAGAACCTGCTGCACAGGAGCTCCTGTAAGCGCTTGAACAAATTGAGGGTTAGCGAATAATAGAAATGCTAATTAAAGCCGTGATGACTGAAAGGCTAGAAATACTTCATTCCAGCTCCACGAGCAGATCTCCTTCGCCAACTGTGTCTCCAGCTTTGCAATGCACCGATTTCACCTTCAATTAAAATGGTTGAGGAAGAGTGAGAAACAAATGGGAACGAGAGGACCAGTCATCCCAATTCCTTTTGAGAAATAAGTGGCCTTAGAACACCTGCTTACATCTAAGGGAACCAGAGTGCGGGAGTGTCCTACAGAAGCCTGTGCTTCACGCCTCCTCCTGTCACTCAGCCCAGGTGATCCTCAGAGAATGGAAACTGCATGGACCAGGCAACAGCGTCCTCAGTCCTGAGATGTCCATGCTGGTGACTGACACATCCCATCCCAGCTTCAGCTATAGTTTTGAGACTAGAGTTTGTATTTAGTGTCATGGTAAAAAACCAAACAACTACACCACAATCCAAATAGGTACCAATTAAAAGGAGAGATCTTCTTAGCCTGACCGTTTCCCTTCCTTTGAAAGAAATTAAATAATTTAATACCCCACTTCAGTTGAGTGGCATAGAATGTGGAATTATGTTTCATTCTTCTGATTTCTGCTGAACATAAAATCCTGCCTTGCTTCTCTAGATTTGTGTAGGCAGAAGACTGGAGTGCGTAAGAGGTCATCATTTCCCTCCTTGGAAATGGTTGCTGAAGCCATGAACTAAAAGTGGGTTTGACCTAACTGGCCATATTGGAGATAAGCAAATAAAAATGCCAGGAGTTACCCAGGCTGCTGCACAGGCCTGTGCCCTGTCCCTCCACTGTGAGCAGAGGAGGCAGGCTCTTTTCTGAAACTTGAGTGGCCCAGAGGTCCTAAGCAGTATAAAGTTGTGTTAAGCAGTGCAAATGCTCAAAGGCCTCGATGGGCAGATCTCTCTGGAGTGAAACGGATGGTGATGTGTTTAATGATGGCATGTTGATTAGGCTGGAGTAGATTCACATTGTGGCTCTGTTTGCACCCTAAATCTTTTCTCAGAGGGAAAAAAGTGATAATTTTGGGAGCTTATGATTTAACTGCCACCACACTCAGTTTAGAAAGGATTGTTAAAACCTGCAGATCCTGTCTACACCGTCTAAGCCTATAGACATTATGTGGCTTTCTTAACCTGCTCTAGCCTGGGGCCACTGAATCTGCAGGGGGCCCTGTTATTCCCCTGAGGGGCAGGTAGAATAATTCTAGGCCTTCTTCTGAGAATCCGTCTCATTGCCTTTTGGGATAACAGACCACAAGACAGACAGAAGCTGAGTGGTGCAGACTTGGTTGTAACTGACATCTCTCTCTGAACCCAATGTCCCAAAGTTTGGCCATGTTGCAGGCCACAGCCTAGGACACGGCCAGACTGTGACTCTATGTAGATTCTTCCAAACCCAAGCGTCCTTTGGGAAAGTGGCTCTTCTGAATGACTGCATCTCTTCAGTCACTGGGAAGAACAGCAAAACCACTGCTTTCACCAGGACTTTTCCTTCAAGTTTCGCTCTTAACTATTCCAGTGCTGACACCTCTCTCTCTTTTTCTCCCTGAATCATTAAGCCTCTCATGTGTACATGGGCTTCAGCTCCTCCATCTACAATTGAACTATTCCCTTTAAGGGGAAATTATCCTGAGTTACATTAATTTTTACAATCTGTAAAACCATTTCCTGCTGTGTCACCTAAGTCTCAGATAACTAACTGCCTCCGAGACAGATGTAAACATTAAAAATTAAAAACCCCTTCATCTGAAAGACATTAATGTGGAGGACAATTGTGCTTTGACTACATGAACGAAACACATAGACCCCCTTCCTGCCTCCCCAGGAGGCTGGGACACACTGACAGAGTGGAGCTCCTGAGTCCTGCCCTGATATCCTCCCCAGGAAAGGGCCAGGTATTAGAGATCACCTCTGCGTTCTATTTAAGGAGACCAGCCCATGTCTCTAAGGTGGAGGTGCATCTGTCATGGCTAGAGCAGGCCAGTAGGAGCTTGAGAACATACCTTGCCCATTTTCCCAGCTGTCATACTGTTCTGCATTTTCATAGCTTCAATCACACAGATTTCCTGACCTTCTGCTACCTGGAAAATAGGTTAAAAATAGGTGTTATAAGAACATTCTAATTTTGTAGTAACATTCAAGAGTGAAGCCATTCAATTCTTTGTCAAATGTGCTGATTGGTCATGGACACACCAGCGACTTCTGACGGCTCCCACTGTAGTACATGAGGAGACAGTTGTCAAGTTCTTAGAAAAGTCTGAACTGGAAGACGTGAGTGCAGCATACGGGACCTTCCCCAGGGCCCTAGAAGTCTGCCACAGATTCTACAAAACCAGTGCTTCCCCCTCCCCGCCATGTCTGCAACAGGCAGATACCTAAGGACCAAGGGACTCATTAGTGCCTGTCTAAATTTGCTGGACTAGGAGTATGGCTACAAAAGGGTAAAGCTTTCTTTACAGGGTGACAAAAATAAAGTTCTGTAGCTGACTGGTGATTATCAGCAACTTGTCTGCCTTACAGGGATGACCCGTACCACATGGAAATCAGAATTCAGCAGTGTCTTACCAAAAGGTGCGTGTTTGCCTCTATGCTGGGAGCTGAAGATAACAGCCTAGCACAAGGGCCAATAAACTGCTGTCCACCTATAAGATGTGCAAGTACTAACATTGAGGTGGCTTCTCCAGCCACACCCAGTCCCTACCAAAAGGCCTGAGTGTGCCGCAGGTGCTTGTTCAAGCCCGTGTTCTGATGCTTGGCTTTCCAATGCCTATGAGAGAGACCCAGACTGAGCAGGCACATACCCACAGGGTTAATCAGGGATGTCCGTCCAGGAGTCGGCTGTGACTAAAAGCCACAGTACTTACTCCCTTTTCTCTGGCCTTAATGATTAAGCACCAAGGATCTGGGTCAGGAATTCTTTCTCTGCCTTGTGGAAAAGGGTCTCTTGCTCTGTGAAGTGGTAGGCTGAAGGCTTCACAGAGTGCCGCTGGGTATGCTGGCTGGGGCTCCTGGATAGCCACAGTACTGTGGTTGTGCTGGCCAATGCCGCAGAAGGACCTGGAGAATGTTCTTTCCTGCCATCCCCAAATGATCTCCAAGTCCCCTCCTGGCTCCCTGTGTGGCACAAGCTGTCTTGCTGGCAGTGTGAGCACTGAAGCCCTGTGCGTTCTTTCCTCTGCTGTTCAGGTGGTGGGCTGTGTTTTTCTGGCACGAGAATATAGGAAGAAAGGAGATGCCAAGACTTTGGTGCTGGCACGGAGGAGAGGCACTGCTGACAAGCAGGCTTAGAGCACAGCGCTCACTGCCGCTTTTGATTCATTTCACCTGGCGTCTGCAGTACAGGCACAGAGAAGCAACACCTCCAAAGGGCTGTTCTTCAAAATGTGGGGGACGGGAAGGCAGCGCCAAGATGACGCAGATACCCCGGCCGGAGGTGTCAGAACAGCTATTCCTTCATACCATCTTGTTGGAGCCATTTCTCTCCTCAAAGGCGGGTAGGAGGTCAAGAAAGTCAGGAGAAGGGCAGGTGTCACTGAGCCACACAGCAACAAAGCTGAGAGCTATTCCAGCAGCCAGGCTGAAATGTCCCTGACCCTGGCCTGCAGGGGACAGCACAGATGGCTCCTTAGGACACCTTGAAATTCTGTCAAAAATTGGGAATCGAATCTCTACCTCTAGGCTCTCCTGTCAGATGGACGAGTCTTTACCGTGGTATTTACGTGGTAACCTTCCACTACCCACCTGCCCTGGCTTCCTCTGTGAGCAACGGAGCCCAGGGTTGGCTCAGAGTCTCCTCACCCCATCCCATCA